TGCTGTTATAAGAATTATCATGATGCCCTCATGTCCGTATTTTATTTTTATCGACGCCTCAATCTCTAAACATGTGGACATATTTTTCAATTTCGGCTTCCGCTTAAGGACAAGCGAGGTCTAATCTTGGGGGAGTTGATACGTCCATTTTGCATTATGCTTTTATATCGATATTTATTGCATTATGGGCTGTTATTACACATTATGTCACAATACTTATGGCTATTCTCTCTTATTTTACAAGGTTTATCATGAAGAGGGAGAATGCTGGCAGCTGGGATTCTGGCAGGAAAATGAGCAAATATTGGAAACCTATTCTGCACAGCTCCAAAAATCCTGAAACTCCACGGAAGTCACTTTTGGAATTAATAAGAATTATTGAGTAAAGAAAATACCAGAGGGGGCCCACCCCCAGGCCAGGAGGGTGGGGGCGCCCCTGTCTCCTGGGCCCCCTGGTGGCCCTCCGGTGCCCATCTTCTGCTATATGAAGGCTTTTACCCTGGAAAAAATGATAAGCAAGCTCACGGGACGAAACTCCGCCGCCACGAGGCGGAACCAATCTAGGGCTCCGGCGGAGCTGGTCTGCCGGGGAAACTTCCCTCCGGGAGGAGGAAATCATCATCATCGTCATCACCAACGATCCTCTCATTGGGAGGGGGTCAATCTCCATCAACATCTTCACCAGCACCATCTCCTCTCAAAACCCTAGTTCATCTCTTGTATCCGATCTTGTATCAAAACCACAAATTGGTACCTGTGGGTTGCTAGTAGTGTTGATTACTCCTTGTAGTTGATGCTAATTGGTTTACTTGGTGGAAGATCATATGTTCAGATCCTTAATGCATATTAATACTCCTCTGATCATGAACATGAATATGCTTTGTGAGTAGTTACGTTTGTTCCCGAGGACATGGGTGAAGTCTTGCTATTAGTAGTCATGTGAACTTGGTATTCGTTCGATATTTTGATGAGATGTATGTTGTCTCTCCTCTAGTGGTGTTATGTGAACGTCGACTACATGACACTTCACCATTATTTGGGCCTAGAGGAAGGCATTGGGAAGTAGTAAGTAGATGATGGGTTGCTAGAGTGATAGAAGCTTAAACCCTAGTTTATGTGTTGCTTCGTAAGGGGCTGATTTGGATCCACTAGTTTCATGCTATGGTTAGGTTTACCTTAATACTTATTTTGTAGTTGCGGATGCTTGCAATAGGGATTAATCATAAGTGGGATGCTTGTCCAAGAAAGGGCAGTACCCAAGCACCGGTCCACCCACATATCAAATTATCAAAGTACCGAACGCGAATCATATGAGCGTGATGAAAACTAGCTTGATGATAATTCCCATGTGTCCTCGGGAGCGCTTTTCTCATTATAAGAAATTGTCCAGGCTTGTCCTTTGCTAAAAAAAGGATTGGGCCACCTTGCTGCACCTTATTTACTTTCATTGCTTGTTACCCGTTACAAATTATCTTATCACAAAACTATCTGTTACCTACAATTTCAGTGCTTGCAGAGAATACCTTACTGAAAACCGCTTGTCATTTCCTTCTGCTCCTCGTTGGGTTCGACACTCTTACTTATCAAAAGGACTACGATAGATCCCCTATACTTGTGGGTCATCATGGCTACATCATGACTTCCCAATGTCAAACCGTGCATGCCCAGATTGCAATGGCTACCAGGCAAATATGTAAGTGCAGTATACTACCCATCAAAAAAATCTATTTACCAATTAATTACCAACTTGTGTCTTCGGGTGATAACGTGCCAATGTCAGTATGCATACTAGGCACTTTAGACAAAAGGTTTTTGCTGGCCTTTGTTTCCCTCAAGAAGGTTTTTTCTCTTAAGAAACATGGAAGCAAAGTGCATTAGCCATGGACACCTAAGATTTCTGGGTGATGTGCAATCGGACGACAAGAACTAGGTTTGAGCAGGGTAAAGGGACATGAAAGGATGCACGCACATAAACTAAAATTCTGCTAACCAGAAAATTCCGGTATAATATCAATGATCTACTAAATATGACAAGACCATGAAATGTCAATGCGCTTCCAAACTTCCATAAAAGAACAATGTTCTGACGACCATCATTTTGCTAAGTTGCACATTAACAATTCAACAAAGTTTAAACTGTTTTGCTAAGTTGCACAAGAGAAACCACAATGATAGGTTTCCAGCTGAGACAATACATGGGAAGGAGAAACTAAAACAGCAAGGTAACAGGCTAACCGCCAACACATGGCACCATTATTGATGACCCTTTAGAGAAACATAAATCTGCAGACAAACATCATGACCAAGCTCACATCTTAGTCCCAATCGGTGGATGGAACCTACCCAAACAAGACAAGGCACAATAAGTTTGCTTCAAAGATTTACCCAGATGACGTAAACGGAAATTTCAAATATCCTGAATAGTACTTTGATGTAGAAGAAATAAACTACATCCTAAGAAAAATTGGGTAGTTGAATAGTTTAGCCTTGTGAGGCAACTCTACGACAAATATGACCATTCAGAGAGGCCTCAAGACCCAAGAGCGCTTTAGGCTTGAAACAAGTTGGAACCCATGCAATTTGACTACCGATCTCTGATAATCATACCGACAATAGGCTTGGACAACAGTAAAAATAGCGAGGCAAAGGCGGTCCTTGCTGGATGGATGTAGAGCACTATAGTGTGCATTCTACCCACTATGAATTCTTACAAAATGTATTCTACCAAATGGAATACGAGAGAAGAGCTAAGATGGATTTTAAGAGATGCTATTTTCACCAATAACTAAAAAACAAAAGGAAAAATGTAAATTCTTGAACCAAAAATGATAAAAGGTAAGAGAATAAAAAACTTGCATGTATGGCACAAATTTATAGGCACATCAGAAATGTGTGCTAACTACTGTACTGTCACCAAAAACTACTAAATAATAAGTTGTGTGAAATTTGACATTGTTTTACACTCCATCGGCATGCAAACCCACAATATGGATGGATGTCAATGGTTTGTCATACATTCTAATTGATGTGTAATTACAACGGACCAGTTAGAGCAAGTAGGTAGGGATACCAAATATGGATGGAGGTAACTTACAATCTAAGTGCGATCATGACACTTGATGCTAATCTGCTCAGGAAGTATGCCACATGTCCTCAAGACGTCCAAAATCTTGTGAACACCGTTATCAACTTTTCTACATTTAATGTTGACAACCAAATGAGGGGGACACACAAATGATTGCCTGGATCCTTCTCTTCCTACAAAGTTCTACAAGATGCAGAAATTCATTGCGACAAAAAGTCATACAAGATAAAACCTTTATAATACATCAACATATTTGAATCAAATACCTCAGGGAAATCGATCTTAAGAGTGAGCTTCTCAAGATTTGGAGAGTGTTCGAGAATGCAAACTAGGTCAGCAGCCGTAAACCAATCATTAAGTTTTAGAGTCTTTAATTTGTCAAATTTAGGGCACCATTCCAAATCTCGTTTGAAGATAGGCTGGACAAATTGCAAATGAACAGAAAACAATTCAGACTCTAATACAATATATTAGGAAATACATTTGGGTACTCCAATTACAAAATTAGGGAAAAGGAAAACTACACCATAGGCCCTGAACTGTCACATTTTATTTTATTAGGAAATCATGTTATTAATATATTGATTTAAGGTCCACCGGGTGAAGATAGACTTAGCAATATGTGGAGATGAAAATAAACAACTTGACTATGTGCAACACTAATAATGGATATGGATACTATAGGTACAAGAGAAACCACGGGTGGTAACTAGCAAATAATAGTAGGAGTAAGATAGTGGAAAGTATACCAATTTAGGTGTAGCAATCAATTTCAAATCAACAACACTGGATAATCCATTGAGAAGCAGACACTTCTTGTGAGAACATCCACCACATTTATGGTCACTATGACAGACATTGTAACACCCATTGCCAAGCAAAATAGATGCTTTTTCCAGTAACGGCATCTCTTCAAGGGAAGGAGTCAAGCATTGAAAACTACCTAGTTCCAGTGAGATAAGGCGCGGGGCAGTAATAGGAATGTGGTTATCCTCGGAGAAGGTACAATGCCCAATTAACCACATATGCTTTAGTGAATTAGAACATATCTTCCCTGCGTCAACGTAGCATCTTTCTATTGTTAGCTCCTCTAATACTGGGCAGCCTGAGAAATCTACTGAGGAACCTACGACGTCAAGGAATCCAAATTCTATGGTCCTCAAGTGGCGGGAGATGAGAGGTGAATCATTGACTAGTAATGGTTCATATAAAATATCACTAGCACAAATCGAGAGCTTCTCAACCCGGCACTTTAGAGCGTACTCGACCAATGGCTTGGCTTCTGTGAAATTGATATAGTCCTCATCACTATAGGGATTGATCTGGCAGTTGGTCAGAGATGCATCCCCCCTAAGATGGGTTATCAGCTTCACCAATTTATTGAAACGCTCGCGACTAAAATTTGACCAGTTCTCAAAGATGAAGCGCAAGCTGGTTTTACGCCTCCAGAGGTCACGCCACTGGGTACCGAGCACGCAAGTCTGTAGGGCTTCATCCCCCGGCAGAAGGGAAAGGATGTGCTCGAGCACATCGTCGGAGAGGACGCGGAAAGGATCCGTGCCTGTGTCAACAGCCTTCTTGTGCATTTCGTCGAACAGGTGGCGGGTCCTACGGGTGCAGGAACGAAATCAACAGAAACACGAGGAAAGTGGAAACCACAAAGTCGATTGGGGTATTGGAGACAAAGAAAAAGATTGCAGCATCACCTGAGCATGACTCCTGGACAGGTCGAAACTCTTGTCGCCGCCGGCCGCGGGGAAGAACAAGGAGGGGAAGACCCTTCTTTCCATCCCATCCCTACTGTATTTAAACCACGAGGGTTCGAAGCAATCCCTAGATCTCGATTTCCCATGCGTCATTATTGCCCCGCTCATTTATTTATTTTTAGGACAGTAAAACCGCACCGCTTTCCTGCCCTCTCACGCACTATGCAGTTATGCCCGTCCATTCTTTTGATCCGGTTGTTTCTAGTCATCAGATCCAGTCGTTTCTAGTCAAGCTGTCCTAATGGGCTGCTGCTCTAAAGGCTAAAAGCGATCCTTCTGGTTAATTGGGCCTGCACTCTCGCGCGAAGCCCGCTCCAGCCTTGGAGAAAATCTATCAGTATTGAGGACCAGAGAAATCCCCTTGCTAGATGATACTCCAATATTGATCTAGATGATCTCCCCAATTTGGCAATGTCGCATTCAACCTCTTGGTTTGCTAATTTCACTCCGCTCCGGATGGACCACATGTATGGCGAGTGACAGAGACCACTTTCGGCCAAGCACGCCACGACTCGCCAGCTCCGGATGATTACAATAACAACGTGTATCACAATTGCAGTAAGATGAACTTTCGCAGACTATGACACATATATGAATTATGAAATGTGTTTGGACTAGGACAAAATAGCGATGCCTAATTTGTGCCGGATATAATATACATATCAGTTTGTAGCCAATCATTTTATTTGTATAAAATAAGAATGAGAAAGGTGCGATAACTCCTGGGTCCCCACATCCTCTATGAATAATTAATCCAAAAAGAATAGAAAAAAAGAACAAAAAAACTGAAACTTTGCGACATCATATATGGTCAAACTTTGTAGGTTCTTGCAAGTTTTCGTCAAAATATCATGTAGAGCTCCTCGAATATCACGAGTTTCAGATTTCAGTGCCAAAATTACTCAAAACTTCAAGCATTGATTTTTTCTTTCTTGTGTAGAGTTCCTCGAATTTTTTGGCATGAAAACTTGCAAGCACCTATAAAGTTGGATCATACTATTTGATGATGAAAACTTGCAAAGCCCACGTACCATCCTCTAACCCCTTCCCACATTCCTTTTTATATGCCAAGAAACCCCCTCCCTCTCCCACTCCCATCCCGTCAATCCTCGGACTTCTCGTCGCCAGTGATTTTGGAGCCGACCGTGTCGTCCCTGTCCCCGGCTCGCCCTCAATGGCCACATCATGGCCCGTCGTGCCATCTCCTTCTCTGGCTTGGTGCTCCTCAGCGCCATCTTCAAATTGACCGAAACACCAAAGGCTTTTCAAGCAACTCAAGATAAGCAAAAACATAAATCAAAATCTAAGTTTTGACTCGGTTAATATCACCCTATTCAAATAGCAGTTTACTTACTCCCTAAGAAAATACAAACAGTACAAAAGTTTTCACCAATTTTGTAGCAATCCTTTTATCCCCAACAAGAAGTACCATTTGTCCTTCTTTCCTATTCCGACGACGTCGAGTTAGATGTGGTGTCGGCACCAACGGAGGTGATGATATCATTTGCCCTTCTTTCCGTATTGGCATGCAAGGCTACATGCCAGTAAGAGGTACCATGGCCTACAAAGACATGTTGTGCTGGAGACGACACCAATGATAGATGCAAGGCATCAACGGTGAGTGCTAGGTCGGGGTTAAGGGTAGGAGTATTTATAGAGATGACATTAACTTAAATGACATCCACTAAAAAAGATACCGACCGCACCAATGAAGGCAACGATATCATTAGCCTTTCTTTCCATATTTGCATGAAATTTCTGCTGACATGCATCAACATTTTGGTAGTCAAATATGTGGTGAAATCTTGATTCAAACGATGTTGCTTCCCTGCTCTTGTTCAACATTATGCTCAATGATGATTTGTACAGTACTTCTATCAATTCGCTTGTGATATGCACCTATTCTGAACGAATGTACCTCAATTGGCATCTACTCCCTCTGTTTTTAAATACAAGTTGTTTTAGAGATTCCAATGTGGATTATATATAGAGCAAAATGAGTGAATCAACATTTTAAAATATGTCTGTTAGCTTAAAAAACGCTCTTATATTATGAGACGGAGCGAGTAGTTCTTATTTAAATCTCTAAAAAAAACTTGTATTTAAGAAGGGAGGGAGTGCTTCAGTGCACCATAATTTGAATTACTAATAGTTTGTCCATGAGTTCATTCTGCAGGGACTTTTACTTCATTTATTATTCTAGCATAGCAGATAGAGCACAGCAGCGCGTTCCTGATATGAGATCACTGGTACGCGGCGGGTGCGAGGCGCGGGCGCACGACGGCCCTGAGCGGCACCTTCTTCTGCAGAGCAAGGCCGAACTCCTCGTCCATGTCCATCCCGGCGGTGCCACCCTCCGGCATCTCCCAGTCGAAGGCGTGCACCAGCACGCCCAACATGTGGTGCACCAGGGTCACCCCCATGCGCGCGCCGGCGCAAATCCTCCTGCCGGCGCCGAACGGGATGAGCTCGAAGTGGCTCCCGAGGGGCTCCACCTTGCTCCCCTCCTCCGTCATGAACCTCCCGGGGTCGAACCTCGCCGGCTCCGGCCACACCGCCGGGTCCCGGCCGATGGCCCAGATGTTGACGAGCAGCCTCGTGCCCTTCGGAACGTGGTACCCCTGCACCGTGCATGGCTCGGTGGAGAGGCGGGGCAGGCAGAGCGGCGTCGACGGGTGCAGGCGGAACGTCTCCTTGCAGATGGCGCGGAGGTAGGGAAGGTGTGGGATGTCGGATTCCTCGAGGAGGCGGTCTCGGCCTACCACGCCGTCCATCTCCGCCTGTGCTCGTCGGAGGATCGCCGGGTTCGCCAGCATCTCCGCCAGCGCCCACTCGATCGTGCTCGACGACGTGTCCGTCCCCGCCGTGAACAGGTTCTGCATGCACGCGATGCATGTGTCATGTGTCATGACTCATGAGTGCATATGCATGTCTGGTTATTTACAGCAAGGGATCGAGAATGACGTACGTTAAGTAGAGCTTTGATGTTGAGGTCTGTGACGCCGTCCTCCCCGGCACGGGCATCGCCACGACAGGCGATCAGCCGATCGACAAGGTCCGGATGGCGGCCGGGCTGCTTATCACTGTCGGCCACGGCCGCCTTATGTTCGGACAGCAACCGGCTCCAGACCCTGTCCAGCCTCGCCGACAGCCGGCGCATCCTCCGGCCGAGCCCCTGCAGGTCCATCCACGCCACGGCCGGCAGGAAGTCGCCGAGGTTCACCAGCCCGGCCGTGGTCATCAGCTCCACCACCATCTCCTTGAACTCCCTCGCCTCCTCGGCCCCAGCCTCGTTCAGCACCCGCTGGCCCACCACCGCCTGCCCGATCATGTTGGCCATCGCGCAGAACAGGAACTCCGGCACCTCCACCGCCGTGCCCGCGCCCAGCCGGCTCATGGCGCGGACCATGCGGGCGACCTCCTCGCGGCGCGCGCCGGCCCAGTCGGCCAGCGCCTGGGGGCCGAGCAGGCCGAGGCTGCACTCCCGGCGCAGGCGGCGCCACCTGGGGCCGTAGGGCGCGAAGACGAGGTCCTGGGCGCCGTACGCCAGCACCGTGGGCGCCACGTCGTCCGCGGGCCGGTCGAGGAAGCTGCCGCCGTGGTCCCTGAGGAAGAGGCGCGCCGCGTCCGGCGTGGAGGCTACCACGACGCCCTGCCTGCCGAGGGTCAGGTGCATGATAGGGCCGTGCTGCCTCGCCAGAGCGGCGAGCGCCCGGTGCGGCGCCCGGCCCAGCAGCGGCAGCGCGCCGACCACCGGGTAGCCTCTCGGGCCGGGAGGCAGCGGCAGCGGCGACGCGCGCTTGGTCCGGAGGATGGTGCGCGTGAGGTAGTGGAGAAGGACGTAGAGGATCGCTAGGACTAGGAGCTCTTGAAACATGGTGGTGTTAGTAGCACTTCCCGACTCCATAGTCGTCGATCTCGTGTCGTGCTGCACTGCTGTGCTGATCGATCGACGTGCAGACAAGAAGTGAAGGATTTTATAGGGCAAATTGGAGTGTGCGAATCCCTGGTAAAATCTACCATTCCTAGACGACTTTGGTCAATCGATCTACCGTTCCCTGTCGATCGTGGCCATGCATGCCGGCAATCTAGCTACCATTCCCTGTGGTGGCCATGCATGCCGGCAATCTAGCTACCATTCCCTGTGGTGGCCATGCATGCCGGCAATCTACCATTCCCTCTTGGAATAGCCAGAATTAATTCCAAATACCACAGTGACCGGCCGTGTCAGAGTCGAATTAGTTAGATAGAAAGCATGCATTTTATCCATGAAATGACATAGCTAACTAACTTTAAGACGAGAGGGAATGGTAGATTGACGACCAAAATTGTAAAGACCTGGCTGGGAAGGTATTGCTAACGGCCGTGCCGATGTGAGAATGAACATACACAGTTTTTTTCTTCGAGAGTACGACAATAGCGTACCATATTTTTATAGAAGAGAGTATAATTACAAGAAGCCAACAACAAATGCGAACATTCACGTCGACACACCCACAACACCATGACACAAGTAGTCTACTCTCTCACAAAAGGATCTAAACCTCCGACTCCAAGCCCTGCAAGCTTCCACTCTTTGATATCTGCAAGCACCATCTCCACTAGTTGGGATGGGGTTCTTTGTTGCTGCGGTTTGTTGAAGACCCTTGTGTTCCTTTGCTTCCATGGCGACCATGCAGTTCCGATGACGTAGGAGTCGAATCCAATCCACGTAGAATTTTCTTGGAGAATCTCCCTCGTTGCTTCAACCACCAGTCAGTAAACGTCTCATCGTCAGTCGGCAACTCTATGTTTACTTGTAGCGCGTCGAAGCACCGGTGCCACACCTCCTTAGCGTAATTACAATGGGCAAGAATGTGGTCCACGCCGTCAACCTCCTGTAGACATGTGAAACAAGCTGAAGGCACCTCTTGGAGGCCATGTCGCGCACGTCTATCACTGTCCAGAGCCGGTATTGGACCATAAGCCATAAGCCACGACAACTTGTATTTGGAAGAGCTGGGCTACACATTTGTGTTTGGAATGGCTATCTGATGAACACTCTTCCGGAGCGCAACCCTGGCGAACGCTCTCCCAGCCGTCGCATGGATGTTGGCACATGGCCAACGCCACGTAGATCAGCTGGAGGTGTTGCTGGGAAGCATTTTGTTGGAAAACAATCTCCTTTTTTTCTCTCAAAATATGTACCTAGGGGACTCTAACCAAAGACCCCCCCCCCCTTCACCACTTGGACTGAAGCAACAGCGTGCGCACTGAACTAAAACTGTTTTGTTATATTTTAAAGCTGAATTCTTTTTTATTTTAATTTTTCATTAAAAATCCAGGATTTCCCCAATATTGATAGAACATTTTTTTACATGGGAATTTTTCCAACTTTCCATGTGCCTATTTATTAAATGTAGCATGACACTTTTTACGGTCTTTTTTGTAATGCCCTCATGGCAATTTTTTATTAAGAGCATGGCATTTTAATAATTAGTAACATGTCATTTTTATTATTAAAAGAGGATGCCAGTTGTTTTTATGCAAGTCACTTTAATTATCAGTAACACATATTTTTAATTGTCAAGACAATATAACTTTTATGATTAAGATCATGGCATTTTTCTTATTAATAACATGAATTTTTTATTCTTAGGAGGATGGTAGTTTATTATTAACAGGTTGGTAGTTTTATTATTGAGAGCATGCCATTTATATTATCAAGAGGATCATAGATGTATTATTAAGACGATGGCAGTTTCATTTTTGTGGGCATGACATTTTTTGTTATCATAGTAAATTATAAAATATAGAAATGGCAGTTTTGTAAAGCAGCATGGCAATTTTCATATTATTCAGAGCATGGCGTTTATAAATTTATGTTTTTCTTGGTTTTTATAAGAAAATGTGTATTTTTTGTTCATGGCATTTTTATCTAGAGGATGGTAGTTTTAAAGGTTAGCATGGCAGGATTTTTTGTAGACCAGAAGACCTTTTTTTATCATACACAATGTAAATTTATAAATGAGAGAATGGGCAGTTTTGTAAAGTAGCATGGCATATTCCATAACTCAGATAATGGAGTTTCAAAAAATTAGGTTTTCTCTATCTTTTATAAGAAAATATATTTTTGGTCCATGACATTTTTTTAAATAAAATCAGTTAACCAGGCCATTTGGGTCAATCGAGGTCGCCCTAGCCTACCCCCTAACGAACGATCAGAAACGATCACTGGGAGTTGCTCCCGTAGCGAATGAATCGTTTGATGGGAGCAGCTCCCAGATAATTAGTCACCAGATATTTGGGTCTTTTTTTGTGCCGGCGTATGTGGTTGTGCTTGCCTAGCTAGTGATCATGCAAGCAGGCTCTAGCTGGTGCTCACATGGGGGCATACCACAATAGAATTGATTTGTGTACGATCTCCAAATGAAAATTTGACCCTAAGTTTGTTGTTCAAGTGTGATTGATTAGAGTCGGACAAAAAGTGTAATCATTGGAATTTGAAATGAGTTAAACACATTGCAGAATTGGTAAATCTCATGGTGAGGGTATGTAACGAGAGAATATCCAGTGGTACCACACCTTAAATGCTCCCATGATACCTAAAAAATCAATTTTAAATGTATAAAATCATCTGGAAAAAATCATGAATGTTCACAAGGAATGTGTCTGCAACCCCTAAAAATTTCAGCTTCACACTCGAAATGCACATTGAGAAAGGAAAAAGACAAATCCAGATGTGAATCGTGTCAATTTCGCTTTTGACTTTGTGTGACACTATTCATGTTAGATTTGTCATTCTTGTTTCTCAATGTGTATTTTAAATTTGGATCTGGTTTTTTAGGGATTGTAATCACATACGCTGTGAATATTCATTCTTTAGAACTTTTTAAAACATTCAAAATTAATTTTTCAAAATTGGTATCATAGAAGCATTTGTGATGTAGTATCTCCTGATAGTCTCATAGCAGTTAATATGCCAGGAGTGTCTGAAGATTCAATTTTTGGAGTCCTTACGTCCAATAGGATTCTTATACATTTTGTGCTAGCTAAAATTATCTCATGCAAGGACAATTTTCATATATTTATATGCCAGGCGATGTGCCTTGAAATCCTGCATGTCAGACACGTGACACTAAATTAGCTCTGCAATTGAATGTAGTGTTTTTGAGCTCGAGCTCGGGTGAACAGTAACAAAAAAAGTTGAAAACAAATTCAAAAAATTGTGAGTTTTGGCAAATATTGACAAATGTTTTGAGTGCTCAGAAAATTTCATCCTGGAATGACATTCGTGAAAGTCATGGCACAGAAAACCGATGCTCCAAAAGTGCTATTTTGAAAGCATTTTGGAGTGCTGTTTTTTTTTGCCATGACTTTCACGGATGTCATTTCGAGATGAAACTTTGCAAGCATTGAAAACATTTGTCAAAATCCGCCAGACATTTTTTTCAGATTTTTCGAAATTTTTTCAATTTTTTCGGAGTGTACCATTCGTCGCGAGCTCATTTGAGCTCACGAGCAGAAGACGACTTTCGGTGTAATTAGCACTAAATCAACCACAACCGCGTTTGAATTAAAGATGCACTGAATTTTTCGATTCATGTATCTTTTCTTGTTTTGCATGAGCTCCGTGATGAACCTGGGGTAAACGGGTGAGGGTGAACGGGTGAGGGTGGGTTGTCGGTCATTGTCAGCTTGCTTAGCAATAAAATGCGTACCAACAATTCACTCTGGACTCAGCGAGGCAAGAGTTTGTTTGTTTGTTTTTCCTATAAGGGAAATAGTGGTACATATAGGCAGAAATGCTTCACCACCGGATGTGGTAATTTTTCACTTTTAATAGTATAATAAAGTTGGTGCAACCTGTCCCAAGCAAGTCGCCACCTACTTTATGTACCACTCACTCTGTAATTTAATATACAACATTTTTTTTTGTTTTGTGAAAATAATATAAGACGTTTTGTAGCACTTAAAACGTTGAAAATGCTAAACGAAGACCGAGCTCCATGAAGGTCTTTATTTAAAAACTTCAAATTTCAAACTTTTTAGTTTAAAAAAATTATGAAAATAAATACACATATACCTAGATACATAATGCACATGTGTGCAAATTTTCAAATCGAAATACATTAAAATGTGATCTACACAAAAAAGACAAATCTGAGGATTTTTAGCATATGTACTGTTCATCTATACAGTCCATGATTTTGGTTTTTTTGTGCACCTCGCAATACAAGGTATTTCATCCTGAAATTTTTCACACATACACTTTACATCCTTGCATATATGTGCATTTATTATCAGAATTTTTTGAAACCGAAATTTATTACTTTTGAATTTTTCAAAATAAAAGACTCCATAGAGCTCGGTCTCAAAAATGCCCTACTAACGTATTATATTAAATTACGAATGCAATATTATTTTATATCAGCACTTCATACCTGGAGTACTCCCTCCTTCCGTCAAATATCTTTCTATATATAGGGCCTAATGCGTTTTTCAAGACCGCCTTTGACTATTGATAAGATTAATAGTCCATGAGATGTATAACGTGAAAATTATATATTGGAAGCTCCTTTAACATACATATTTGACGGTATGCTTTGTGTAAGTTGTATGTCATGTATTATTACTCTAACATTTGGTCAAATTTAGCCTCGAAAAGCACATTAGACCCTATATAGATAGAAGGAGGGAGTATAAATTTAATACGGAGAGGCCGGGGTAAGGAGATGGCAAGTCGATATAAACAAGCAAGTCGATCAAGAACACTTCACAACCTTTTCTTTGTTGAAAAAGGAATAAATCAATATCACGAAGATATCAGTTACCCCAGTCACTACATCAACAATATATCGAAAGATATTAAGGATGCACAAAGTCAACAAAAAAAATGAGACATTTAAAAACAAATACTACATCGCA